GCCATGGAACCTGCTGGAAGAAGAAGAAGAAGAAGAAGAAGAAGAAGAAGAAAACGAAACATAACAATAATAAGAAAACTATGAATAACACGAAGAAGGGGACCCATGGCCCCCGCCGTGCTATCCGCACACTTGATCGGCGGCGTCTCGGGCCCGCGCTGTGGCCAGGCCACGACGGGACCCATCTGCGAAGCAAATGGCGGCGGCACACAGGCAGGGGAAAAAAGGACCGATGACAGCTGGGAGATCCCATGGTCCTAGCCATGCTATCCGCACACTTGATCGGCGGCGTCTCGGCTCCGCGCTGTGGCCAGACTACGATGTGACCCATCTGCGAAGCACATGGCGGCACACAGGCAGCGGAAAAGGGGCTGCAGGAAGAACGGGAGGAGACGACCGCGAGCGGCCCTGGGGGGCCTTCGGAACGCGAAGTTCTTCAGGATGTGCCAGAGCAGGCTTGTGGTACCCCATGGGCCGGGGGGCCTTCAGAGCGTGAAGTTCTTCGGGATGTGCCAGAGCAGGCTCGTTGTACCCCATGATGTCTACACACGCCCTAGTCCTCCCCCCCCCTTGGACCCTCCACCTGGACGGAGCACGTGCCAGGGCAGCCGCTTCGCTGACAGAGCCCCTGCCTGGGGGAGGCCAGCATCCGCCAGCCACTGCCCGAGTCGCTGGCCCCAACGTCCCCACTGGGCGAAGAGAAGAGGAAGAGGAAGAGAGGAGAAGCGACATTCGGCGGCGAGCTCAGGGGTAGTGAGAAAGAGAAGGCCTTATTCAAAGAAGGCTCGGAGGTCCCCCGGCCTTCTGAGAAAAGTTCTTGAAGCCTTCCCCCACGACACGGAAAGCCTCTCAGAGGGCGCGAGGACTTCTGCGAAGCCCCGCCGCCTTCCGAGAAGGCCTTCTGCTTCTCATTTCCCCCCCTCGCTCGCCGCCGAGACAGGGAGGGAGGACGAGATCCGGCGGGAGGAGGGCGCGGAAGCCGAGGCGGATACTCGACGACGGCTAGGAGCGTCCAAAGACCTCGAGTCTCGACCCTGAATCCTCGACCCTCGAGCCTCCCTTCCCCCTCCCCGCAGCGATGCTCGACCTCCCTCGGGCGACCCCTGGACCTCTTCTGGGGTGCACGTCGGCTAACACCGCCAAGGGAACATAGCCGGGCGACTAGAAGCCTCTGGAAATGCACCACCCACCTCTGCCCTGCTCGAGAGGATACATGAGACGTGCCGTCGTAACCGTTATCATGACCCTCGCAAAAACATCTCGGACGAAGCACGAAGCACTTACAAGCATGGGCACAATCTGGGGTGCTGCGGGTGCTGCGGCCCTGGAGCACTGGAATTGGGGACATTTCGTACGGTCAACTCATTTGTGGTGCGCCGCGTAATCTAGTATCCCAATGCTGAATTAAAACAATGCTTATGATTGTGGTGTACATGTGTGTGTATGTATGAATGCGTGCATGCATGTATTTTGATGTAAGCATGTAAATATGCATGTAAATTGGTGAGCATGTGTGTCTGCATGTCTGTATGGTTTATGTATGCATACATATACGTATGTATGCACGAGAGCATGTATGTGAGATTGTGTGCATGCATGTATGTATGTATGCATGTACGTATACACGCATGAAGTACGTGCGTAGATGGTATGTATAGTTAACTGTATGCTTGTATCTGTATGTGTGCATGTATAAGTATATGTGTGTGTTCGTTTGTATGTTTGTGTTTATACATGTATGTATGTATGTCTGTATGTATGTATGTACGTACGCATGTATGTATGTACGCACGTTCGTATGACTACATATATGTGTACATGCATGCATGCATGCATGCATGCATGCACTCATGTATGTATGTACGTATGTTTGTGTGTATGGGTGTACGTGTGTATGTGTGTATGTATGTCTGTCTGTCTGTCTGTCTGTCTGTATGTATGTATGTATGTATGTATGTAAGTATGTATGTGTGTACGCATGTACGTATGTATGGAGAGGTGTGTGTGTGGCTATGTATGTGTGTATGCATGCATGCGTGTATGTAGTTATGTATGTATGCATGGGTGCGTGTGTATCTATGTGTGCTGCATGTATGCATGTATGGGTGTATGTATGCGTGTATGTCTGTATGCATGTGTTCATGCCTATATGTATATATGTATGTATGCATGTAGGCCGGTAGGTCGGCAGGTGGGTAGGTAGGCATGTCTGCTTGTTTATATGCACGTCTGTGTAGATATACAATGTGTATACATATATGACTTAACATTTACGATGCGTATGTTTTGATACAGCCGGGTGCCCTGGACATGGCCCTCCCGCCCGAGCGAATTTCGGCATCCCCGGGCTGCTGGAACTCCCCCAGGCTGCTCGGACGTCCCTGCAAACGTCCCTTCGGCCTTCCAGCCTTCTCGGAAGGCCCACAGAAGCATCAAATATTACCCAAGACTGCTCGCCGACAGCTCAAAAGCATACCAACACGTCCAACATGGCCTCCCGACGGCTCAAGTGGCGCCCAAAACGCATAAAAAAAGTCCACGAGGGTTTCCAAGAGAGCTCCCGTACATTTCTGTTGGGGATTTGCAAGATGTCGGCGTTTTTGCATTCCCACGCTTCCACGCTCCAAGACGGCCCAAGAACCTGCGGGACTGCCCCAAGAGGAGCCCCAAACGACCCAAGAGGGCTTCTAGACGGCCCAAGAAGCCCCCAAGATAGCCCGAAGAGGGGCCCACAACGACCCAAGATGGCCCCAAGACTGAACACAAGAAGGCCATCACGGTCCCAAGCCCTTTCAAAACGGCGCACGACAACCCGAAGAAACCCCGATCAAGCCCAGGAAGGGGAACACGGATTCACATTTCGAACTTCCCGTCGCAGAATCGCTCCATCATCTTCCAGGATGCTCCCGCGGCACTCCCACGACGCCCCAAGAGGCCCTCACAGGACTGCCGATACAGACACATTTCGAACCTTCAGCCTGGGACTGAACCGATGATCTCCCAGAGGCTCACGCGGCGCCCCCAAAAACGCCCCAAGAGGCCCACAGCGAGCCCCAAAGAAAATTCAAGAACCGACATTCGTTGAGCCCCTTTCAGTTGCCATGTGTTTCAAAACTCTCAGACCCCAGCTCTCGGAGTTGCACAGCCGTGTCAATTCCAGCCTCCGCGCACTCACTTGCGACCATGAGAGGCGGGATCGCACGTGCAATCAGGTTTGTGATGTTATCCGCGCCGTGTCCTTTGATGTACCGAAAGCTCTCCTGTTATATATGCGTTATCCCTGCGCGCATTCACCGCATGAAATATTCCTGACTATACAAATAATGTCATACTTATACGCGTAAGCGAATGTGCATTCAGGTGTCTGTGCGTACATATGTACAAACATAAGTGCACACATGTGCACATACACGCCGCCTGCGTGCGGAATCTAAATGACCAAGGTGCATGGCGCGAAACGCCAATTCAGTATGGTGTATCGATGTGTAGGTACACATGTAACTGTATGTGCACGAGCGTACCTATGTAACACGCATGCCCCCCATATCGCATACTGCAGCAAACAAGCGATCGGATGTCGGCAAGCCATACGGATCTTGACCTTCCTGTCCTGCGTCTCCAAGGCTGGACTGAGGCAGCAGGGCGCGGCATCCTTTGAACCGCCTGCCGCAGGACGCACGGGACAACCGCCATACTCACTCAAAAGCCACCCTCCCCCCGACAGCCGAGAGTGGGGGGAACGGCTCGGGGAGGGAAACGATGACCTGGAATCGAAAATACATCACCGACACCGCCGCTTGCGAAATCAACGCCCACTTGTAGAAAGACAGTGCGCCCCGCACCCGCGCCCCGCATCCCAATGTTGGCCAGCGAATGCGCCAAAAGGGAACGCGACGTGTTGCGACATAAACGCCCACTTCTGCGTGGCTGTTTCCTCGCCAACCTTGAAATGTGGGGGGAAGGGGAGGGGCGAGCTTTGTCGTTTTGCCACCGGTTCCCTAAGATGGGCGCTTAATTTCGCAAGCAACGGTAGCTCGGAGCCCGATGGGACAACAGCCGTGCTCAAAAGCCATCCCCCCCCCCCTGACGGCCGAGGAGTTGGGGGAACGGCCCGGGGAGGGAAACAATGACCTGGAACATGCATTCTCCCGCTCCGCGCAAGCGAAGGGTCGTCGGGCGGAGGCCGCGGCCGACGCGCGCGAGCAAGGCCCAAGAGGGCCGAGCCCCAGCGCGCGCGCGCACCGATAGCTCGGGGCCCGTTGGGGAACCTCCACGTTCCTGGGCAGGTCGGCGCGCCCAGGGCCCGCTCGGCGAGGCACGGGCGATCCGAGGCCGACGGCCTCCCGCCCTGGACCGATCCCCCGCCCCGTCGCTGCTCCCCTGGCCTCCGGGCCGCAGCCCGGCTCTCCGGCGGCCGCTTGGGAGGACTCGGGCCCCCACGAGGGGGCTCTCGGCGAGGCGCAGGGGCTGGAAGGCGTCCCGAGGCTGGAGGACCGCCGAGGGCCGACGAACACGCTTGGAAACTTCGTGGCCTCGAAGCGCCTCCCATAATTGCCGTTGCCCCTCACAGAGTTGGCGGCGCGCAGGAGGGGGTGGAGGGAGGCGGGAGGGCTTCGTTAATTAGAAGGAGGCTGCTCCTCAGAGGGCGGCGCTGGCCCTCCTTGCACCTACAGACAAGGCCCGCGTCTTCCGAGAAGCAAAGGTGCTTCTAAGAAGCCCTCCACGCTCCCCCCCCACCTCTGCGCGTGGCTGGCCGACGGTGCCAGCGCAGGTGGCGCTGCCGCCCCGCCAGGGCGGCGACTATCCACGGACAGACTACGGCGATGGCGACGGCGACGGCGGCAACGGCGACCCCCCTCTGCGCGTGGCTGCGGAGAAGGAGGGCGGAGGAGGAGGAGGGCGGAGGAGGAGGGCGGAGGAGGAGAAGGGCGGAGAAGGAGGAGGAGGAGGAGGAGGAGGAGGAGGAGAAGGAGGAAAGTCCCCCCCCCCCCCCAGCTGTCCCCGAGGCCCTCTTCTTCCTCCTCCTCCTCCTCCTCCTCCTCCTCCTGGCCGCCCAGCGCCGCCGGCCTCCTCCTGCCGCGCGGGGCGAGGCGCCGCCGAGGGGGGATGGGAGGCGGGAGGGGGGGCAGGGGGGGGCGAGGGGGGGGCGAGGGGAAGAGGCGTAGGGGAAGGGGCGAGGGGAAGAGGCGTAGGGGAAGGGGGGCGAGGAGGGGGGCAGGGGGACGAGGGGACGAGGGGCAGGGGGGCGAGGAGAGGGGAGGGAGGGGACGAGGGGAAGCGACGCAGGCGGGAGGAGGGAGGAGGAGGGGAGGAGGAAGGAGGAGAGGAGGGGAGGAGGAAGGGAGGAGAGGGAGGAGGAAGGGATGCAGGAGAGAGGAAGGCAGGGGAAGGAAGGAGGAGAGGGTGGGCCAGAAGGGCAGTGGAAGAGGTGGGAGGAGGGAGGAGGTAAGACCCCTCGTGAGGTCGGGTTCGAGGATGAAGGCTTTGGGGAGTTCTTGATCCTGTCTGAGTCTCCAGGAGCCCCCAGGGGACATAACATAATGTTTTGGAGGTTCTGCGGAATTCTGGGGGGTGTTCTGGGAGACCCTAGGGTGTCACAGGAAGAAAGGGGGAAAAAAGGAGGAGGGAGGGGGTATGGAGGGAGGATGGAGGAATGAGGTGGAGCGAGAATGAGAGCTGAGGGGAGATGGAGGAGAACAATGACAAGGCAGATGGGCGATTCTGAGGAGGCAAGATGATGCACCAGGATGACGAAGAGGGAGGGGAGAAGAAGGAGGACGAAAAGGAAGGATGGGCCTCCGAGGCCTGAATGTGTCAGAACCTCTCGAGCCCCACCTTCTCTCCGCCACTGGCGTGATCGTCCACGTTGCTGGTGGGGCCCGTCCCCTCTCCGATGAAGAGGTCGGGGGACGAGGTCGCAGTGGGACGGAGAGCCCCCCACCTGGAAATCGGCTTCGGTCTCGTGTCGCGCGTGCGGGCGAGGCGAAGCCGCGTGGGCGCGCGAGAGGAATGACCACCGCCGTCGCTAGGGCGGTTCGGCTGCAGTGGACCGCCCCTCCGCCTCCGGTGGGCGCGAAAGTGGCCCGGGGAGTCCCGCCGTGATGTCCTGTGGTGTCCCGTTGGTGTCCCGTCGGTGTTCCGTCGGCGGTGGGCGGGCGGTGGCCGGGGGTGTCCCGCCTTGGTATCGATCGTGAGATCGATCGTGAGATCGATGATGAGATCGCTAGAATGGGATGGATAGTGAGATCCAAAGTGAGATCGACAGTGAGGTTGACTCTGACATTGGTTGTGATCGCGCTGTAAGATGCGCAGGGAGGCGACGTCCCCCGGGTCGTGCAGATCTCGCGGGGACAGGCGATCTCCCCTGGGACGACCTCAATGAAATCGATCGCTGAATTCATTGACACTAAGACTGGCCGTGAGGTCGATAGTGTAAACGATCGAGTGAGATCGAAAGCGGGGACGATCGTGACATTACATCGCAGCGCAACGTCGTCATCACGCGTTGTCGCTATTTCGAGGGCGCGTCACCGGCATCGTCGTCATCACATCCATCATTTTTGCCAGCAGTTGCTTGTCCCCCACCCCCCAACTCCCCATCACCCGAAGGGTGGTCGTGCAGGTAATCCACCTCGGTCGGGCGGATGCGAATGGGAAAGCAATTCACGGGGAGCGACCGGTGGCTGCAGGAAAGTGGCCGGAAGGGGTCCTCAGAGGCTCCTGAAACGCCACCGGGGCCCGAGAGGTGCCGGGCAGGTGTGCCTTTCCCTGGCTCCTGATCCGCCGTACTTTGGATGATTTTCCGACCTAAAATTGTGTCGGAAATCGACGCCAAAGGAGCCTCAAGGGCGGAAATCGACGCTCAAAGGGGCCTTAAAAGTAGGGCGGAAATTTCCGCCCTACTTTCGAAATCGCCCAAAGTAGGGCGGATCAGGAGTCAGGGTTCTTCATCCCTCGTGTGCTTCCCCCCGTTGCCGTCAGCCCGGCTCGGAGCCGGAGGGGCAGGCCTCGGCGCTTCTGGGGGGGGGGGGGCCTCGGAGCTGCAGGGGAGAGGCCTCGGAGGCTCCGGGAGTGGCCTCGGAGCGCCCTGTGAAGGCCTCGGGGCGCCGAAGGCCTGCGAACTTGTGGGGGAAACCCAGAGGCCGCCAGAAGCCCCTACAAAATCTGGCGACCTGCGGGCTTCCCATCACTCGGAATAGTTACGGGAAGCCCATAGATGGACCTAAGTCGGGCATGTTCCCCTACAGGGGGATATTGGGCGAAAAAAATTAAAAATACGCCAAATACCCTCCAGATGGGCAAATATGGTCAAAAAAATCGTCCCCAGACTATTTTGTGGACTATCTTTTGGTATTCCTCCTGCAGAGGGACAGGCCCGACTGAAGGATGGACGACAGCCCCTGCGGGCGGGGCAAGGGGGCCTCAGTAGGGAGCCCACAAAGGACGTACGCGCCCAACTATGTACATGAACACGGCCCCTCGATCCGCGAGAATGGCCGCGTGATACGACCATTCGGGCAATGCATACTCTCGAAACCAGCGCGGATTCATGCACGTGTACGTCCTTCTCTCGCTCCTGACTCAGAGCCTCCGGGAGGCCCGGGCAGGAGCTGCGGCGGGGGCCTCGCGGCCTCGGGGAGGAGGCGCCGCGGAGCGGACCCCGGGAGAGGGGCGGCACAGGCCCCGGGAGCGAGTGCTGTGTGTGCTGTGTGTTGTGTGTTGTGTGCTGTGTGTTGTGTGTTGTGTGTTGGTGTGTCTGTGTCTGTGTCTGTGTTTGTGTCTGTGCGTGCGTGCGTGCGTGCGTGCGTTCGTGCGTGCGTGCGTGCGTGCGTGCGTGCGTGCGTGCGTGTTCGTTTGTGTGTGCGTGTCCGGACGTGTGCGAGCGGGCACTTCTGCGAGCAGTGGAGCGCGCTCGGTGCCTCCGGGAGCACCCGGGGCCTCTGGGGGAAGACTCCGAGCCTCCGAGAGCCCCAGGGGCCTCCCGACGGAGATCTCGATGTGTGGCCGACATCGGAGACCCAGAATCCAAGAAACACCCGCATCACACGTCTATTTCCGCCGCCTTCCGCCAACCTTCCGCCGGCGTGCCCGCCGCCGTTGTCCTGCCGACGGCTCCCGCCGCAGACGAGGGGCACCACGCCAACGTATTCGACACCCGCCCCAGCTCACGATAATTCCCGAGGGTTCCCTTGGGCGGATGAGGTCGTCAGAGCTGCGCGCGCATCCTCTCCCGGGAGTCCCTGGACGGCGACTCCGCGCGTGCCTCGGACGGCTGGGCAGTGGCAGGCCCGTCCGCGCCCACGCCCCAGAGAATTCACGACGAACTGTTTTTTACCCTTTTCGCCGTCGTCGTCGCCGTCGGCGTCGTCGTCGTCGCCGTCGTCGTCCTCGTCCTCGGCTTCGGGACCGCCAGGAAACTTTGGATATCACTGTGGATCTCACAGACACCGGGCCCAACCCCCGAGGAGAGGCGGGCGTGGAGAGGGGCGGGTGCCCCGGGCGGGGCGAGGGGGGGGCGAGGGAGCAGAAGCCCACCTCGGTGAGAGAGCTCCGCCCTCGGGCACCCGGTGCGCCACTCTGGTGGGGCCAGGCCCGCACCCGCGGGGAGGAGGAGGCGGAGGAAACGGAGGGGAGGAGGAGGCGGGTGATGACGATGATGATGATGATGACGATGCTGATGCTGATGCTGATGCTGATGCTGATGATGATGATGATGATGATGATTATGGTGATGATTGATGATGATGATGATGCTTGTGATGCTTATGATGATGCTGATGGTGATGATGGTGATGATGATGATGATTATGATGATGATTGGTGATGATGATGATGCTTATGATGCTTATGATGATGATGCTGATGATGGTGATGATGATGATTGGTGATGATGATGATTGGTAATGATGATGATGGTGGTGATGATGATGATGATGCTTATTATGGTGATTGCAATGATTGGTGATGATGATGATGCTTATGATGAGTATGATGATGCTGATGATGATGCTGCTGATGATGATGATTGGTGATGATGATGATTGGTGATGATGATGATGGTGATGATGATGATGCTTATGATGGTGATGGTGATGATTGGTGATGATGGTGATGCTTATGATGCTTATGATGATGATGCTGATGATGATGATTGGTGATGATGATGATGCTTATGATGCTTATGATGATGGTGATGCTAATGATGATGATGATGATGATGATGATGATGATGATGCTGATTGGTGATGATGATGATGAAGGTGGTGATGATGATGATGATGATGATGATGGTGGTGGTGATGCTTGGTGGTGATGGTGATGATGCTGATGATGCTTATGATGATGATGTTGATGATGATGATGGTGATGATGATGATGATGATTGGTGATGATGATGATGATGATGATGGTGATGATGATGCTTATGATGGTGATGGTGATGATGATGATGCTTATGATGATGATGCTGATGATGATGATGATGATGAGGATGATCGGTGATGAAGATGATGGTGATGATGATGATGCTTATGATGGTGATGGTGATGGTAATGATGATGATGATGATGATGATGATGCTTATGATGGTGGTGATGATGATGATGATGATGATGGTGATGATGATCCGGACTCCTCCTGATCGCTGACTCCTGGTCTGCCTCGCCGAAGGAGCGCGCGCGGGCGCTCAGCGCCCCAGCGCCGCCAGCGTCGCGTCGGCACACCACAGCACGACCATCGTGCTGATGCGCTCCGCGAGCGCGCGCGCCGTCGTGCCCTGGCGGCCGCCCTGCAATCGGCGCCCGTGCAGCTGCGACGCGGCCGCGAGATGGTGGTGGTGGTGGTGATGATGATGGTGATGATGATGATGATGGTGATGATGGTGATGATGATAACGGTACTGCTGATGATTATGATGATGATTATGATGATGCTGATGATGATGGTGCTGCTGCAAATGATGATGCTGATGAAGATGATGATGATGCTGCTGATGATGCTGCTGCTGATGATGATGATACTGACGATGATGATGATGATGATGATGATGATGATGATGATGATGATGATGATGATGATGATGATGACGATGACGATGACGATGACGATGATGATGATGATGACGATGATGATGATGATGATGATGATGATGATGATGATGATGATGATGATGATGATGATGATGATGATGATGATGATGATGATGAGTGATGATGGTGAGTGATGGTGATGGTGGTGATGATGAATAAGAGGAGGAGGTAGAGGAGGAGGAGGAGGAGGAGGAGGAGGAGAACGAGGAGGAGGAGAAGGCGGAGGAGGAGGAGGAAGAGGAGGACGGAGAGGACGAGGAGGCACAGGCGGAGGAGGAGGAGGAGGACCTCCCCTTGTTGCAAGAAAGCGGAGGGGAAATCTTGCCTATTTTCTGGCCTCCGCGGGGCCCTCGCTGGGCCCCGGACCTGTCAAGTGACGACTCGGGATGAAGAGCCGGCCCCCAGGAGCAGGCTCAAACTTCCCGAGACGACGCCGTGACCGAGAGCACGACGTGGGCAGTCTGCAGAAGACGGCAGGAGGAGTCAGCACCGAACCGGCAGATCGAATCGACATCTACATCCTCCTCCTCCTCCTCCTCCTCCACCTCCTGTGCCTCCTCCTCCTCGTTCTCCTCCTCGTTCTCCTCCTTCTCCTTCTCCTCCTCCGTCTCCACCGAACTGGCAAATCGGATCAAATCCTCGGCTGTCAGCCCCGGGGGGTGAAGCGAGAAGGACAAGGCCTTCTCAGAGGGTTCAGGAGTCCCCCGGCCTTCTGAGAAGTCTTCCAAGGCTTCCCCGAAGACACGGAACACTTCTCAGAAGGGGCGAGGGCTCATGAGAAGTCCCGCCGCCTTCTGAGAAGGTCTTCTCCTTCTCACTTCCCCTCCTCGCTCGCCGCCGAACATCGGATCGGACCACATCGGCACGGAGTCGGGATCAGATCGGATCGGCTTCGTCAGAATACACAACATCGCCACGCGAGCATCTGGCCTCCCGACCATCGGCTTCGAGTCGAATCGGGCTGGCCGGAGCCGACATCGAATCGAACCGATCGGATCGAAATCGACCCTGGGAGGAGGAGGGAGGATCGACCTTCGACGTTCGAGCTCCGAGGAGATCGAGGCTCTTCTGGGCCTGCTCCACCCTTTTCCGGCCTGTGGGGGGCTTCTCGTCGCCACGGCTGGGTTTCCTCCGAGATCCTGGCCAGAACGCACCCCTAGAGAGAGGGGGCGATATATTAGGGGCGTTGACCAAAGGAATCCTAAATAAGGAACGAGGCCTTCTTTTCCCATAAGTTAAACTTCGATTCCCCATGGAAAACCTAAGGAAAACCCAAGGCAAACTGTGAAACAATCAAGGAACACCGAGCCCCTCCCCAACGAAAAGGGTTCCTTCTCCAGCGCCCCGACTGTATATTTGGACCTGGGTGTGGCAAGTTCGTGTCGTGGCGACGTGGGCGCTGGCCCATGAAACCTCGGAGATAGCTCAGCCTTGAGCGATCTCGCGGCTTTCCGACAGCGCAGGATGTTCGATGTCGGCCAGTTCTGGGCCACTAGCGACGCTCAGCCTTGAACACCCGCGCCGGGGTCGTCGCCGCGTCACCGCGGCGCGAATCGATCGGATGGAACGCGTCCCTGATCCAACGGGCGGACTGACCCAGAGCAGACCGCACTGACTGCAGAGGTCAGGGCAAAGACTGCAGCGAGCCCACGCTGCGACTACCGATGGGCCAGCAGGGGACCTCTGAGCCGGCGACCCACAGGGAGGAGCAGCAGGGGAGCCACACCAGGGTCGGCATGCGTCAGCGCTGCTGCAGTGCACCTCCCCGCCCCCAGGTGCCGACAAAGGGACGCCCTGTGGACCTGCCATATGCCGGCGAGAGCCCCGCTCTGAGAGAGAGCAACTGCCCGGCATCCTCCAGGCCGCAAGGAACGCGACGAGGCAGGATCAGAAATGCCGCAAGCCCTCCGGGCGGAGGTGGACGAAGGCGTTTCCTCTTCCGGCCCTCTTCTTCCCCTTCCACGGGGGGAGGGCCCAACATGGCTCCGAGATGGCCTCAGAGAGCCCAAGAGGGCCTCCAAGATGGCTCAACATACCCTAAGGTGGCTCAAGATGACCACCACTAGGCCTCCCTAAGGTCTCAAGGCACCCCCGAGACGGCCCCGGGTGGCCATGGAGCCTCCCAGGGATACTCGCAAGATGCCCAAATCCTTCCAAAAAACACAAGACGCGTTCTCGCCTTTTCGCTTCAAGTGGCATTCCGAGGCCTCGAGGTCCCAGAGGGCTCCAAGATGGCCCCAAGGGCGGCCAAGCGCGTCTCAAGAGGCGACTGTTGGGGCTCATGAGGGGCAACCCTAATCAACATCCCCGTTTCTTTGATCGATGGCCCCCAAGAGGACCCCAAGAGAGCCCCAATAAGGCCCCTAAGGCCTACACGGTTGCCCCAAGATGGCCCAAGCGAGCTGCCAAGAGGCTCCCAGCAAAAAGGCCCGCGGAGGCATTTTTGGTTGCCCTCTGGGCCTGGTCGGGCAGCTCCTGATCTTCGGCTTGCCGGCTGCCACCCCCCCTCTTTGGTCCACTGCGTGCTCCTGCTCTGACCTGAGCAGATGTCGCTCGCCTCGGCGTCGTTGCCGAATGGGCTGATGAGGACACTTTTTTTTTGGTCGCGGCCGCGGGCGAGAGCGCAAGCGGCGAGTCGTAAGTCCAGGGCGCGGGCCTACTAATTGACAACAGGAGAAAACTAGAGCCGCTCACCTAAACTGCCTAAGCTGCCTAAGCGGCTGATGAGGACACGTGGAGTGTCAAGAACTTTCAGGACGTGTCCTGCGAGAGACCCGTTTCGAGAAGGGGCGACCCTCCGTCCGCGCTGCTGCTGCGGCGGCACAGTGTGAAGCATATGATCCTAAACAACAATGGGGAACATTGAGCGAGAGCTCGAGTTTGAAACTGGGCCGCCCAACATCCTTGCAGCGGGTCGAAACTGTCACAACTGCGGTGGAAGGCGCCACACTTTGACTACTGAAAATTCCAAGCTTCAAGCTTTAGGGCAATCAGCGGTGAAGCATTCGGTGAAATATTCGGCGAAACGCCTGGCCCACCCTACTACTGATGCGTCGGGTGGCGTGGCATGGAGGAGTTAATCATAAAGATCAGGGGTGGAGGAGAGGGAGAAGATCGAGGGAGGATGATCGAGATTTGTGGGCGTTGGATGCCACTTGGGGCTTCCAGTCAGGAAGGCTCCAGACCTCTGATAACCTCCGGGGAACTTCCGAGGACAGAGGCGGGAGCGGGGCAAGAAGGCGGATTGAGAGGCAGAAGGTTGGAAGAAGAGGAACTCGGCGGCGAGGGGGGGGGGCTAGGTACGAGAAGGGGAGTCGGGGAAGGGGTGTAGGGAGGATCGTGGAGGAGGGGGTGGAGGACAAGGGCTGTCAGCCCGCCTACTCCCCCCCATATCGCCCTCTCTCGTTGTGCCTCACCTGCCCTCCCCATGCGTCTACCTCCTCTCTCGTGTCTTTCCCTCCGCTTGGAACCTTGCCCGATGGGGCCGTGCTACCCCCGAGGACGCGGGCGCACGAGGAGGAAGAGGAGAAGGAAGGGGGAACAGGACGAGGCACATACTGAGGGCATGATGCTGCGAGGAGGAGGAGGAGGAGGATGGGGGGAGCAGCATAATGATGATGATGATGGTGACGAAGATGATGATGCTGACGATGATGACGATGATGACAATGATGATGATGATGATGATGATGATGATGATGATGATGATGATGATGATGATGATGATGATGATGATGATGATGGTGATGGTGACGATGATGCTGAGGATGATGAACATGACGATCATGACGATGATGATGACGACGAATATGATGATGATGACGATGACGGAGATGATGATGATGATGATGATGATGATGATGATGATGATGATGATGATGATGACGATGACGCTGATGGTGATGATAATGATGATGAGTATGCTGCTGATGATGCTGCTGATGACGCCGATGATGACGATGATGTTGCTGCTGCTGAAGATGCTTATGCTGATGATGATGATGCTGCTGATGATGATGATGACGAAGGTGATGATGATACTGAGGATGATGATGCTGATGATGACGATGATGACGATGATGATGACGACGTAAATGAAGATGAATATGAAGATGAAGATGATGATGATGATGATGATGATGATCATGATGATGGTGGTGACGATGATGATGATGATGATGATGATGATGATGATGATGATGATGATGATGATGATGGTGAAGATGATGGTGACGATGATGCTGAGGATGATGAAGATGACGATGATGACGATGATGACGATGACGATGATGACGACGAAGATGATGATGATGATGATGATGATGACGGTGACGAAGATGAATCTGAAGATGATGATGATGATGTTGTTGTTGTGGACGATGATGATGATGACGATGATGATGATGATGATGATGATGATGATGATGATGATGATGATGATGATGATGATGATGATGGTGATGGTGATGGTCATGGGAGGAGGAGGAGGAGGAGGACGAAGAAGAGGAGCTACCCCGCTTTCCCGAGCCCCGCCCCCTCTTCTGTCCACTCTGGCCCTCCCCGCGGGGCTCCTCCTCCGCCTCCTCCGCCGGCCCGCCGCCGCGCTGCAACTCGTGCGCAGACCCGGCGAAGGAGCCTGGGGCACGGGGGGGCCAGCTGGCCGGCGCCCGCTCGAAGGACGGCGAGGGGCGCCAGGGCTCGAGAATCACACGACGATCTCAGCGGCCCCGATGCGCCACACGCGGCACGCAGCGTATGGATGCGGAGCTCAGCAGGTGCAGTCATCGGCCTGACCTATAGCCTACGGAACGACAAATGAGGAGCGAAGCCCCTTTTTTGCAGAGAATAACGCAGAAGGAACGATAAATAATGCATAACGCATAATGAACTAGAAATAACGCATGCAAGCCTAAGGAATGACCGAGCCCCTTGTGAAAAGTAAGTGTTCCTTATTCAAGCCGCTCACTGTAGACCGACAGCGTGTAGGTCTGACGCGATGCGTTCGCCAAAACTCGTGGGCCAAGACGTTGAGCCAGCACGCAACGGATTGGCACGGACGTTTTGAGCACGGCACGTGTTGCGTACCAGACCGGGCGTACCGAGGCAGGCAAGATGACGATCGTTCCAGACCCAGGTTCGGGGAAGACAGTTAGGCGGCCACACGTGAACTCTACCCCCCCACCCCCCACGATTTCGAAAGGGGGGTGGGGGCTCACTCCGCTCGGAAGCTCCCGATCGAAGTGAACCCCCAACACCCCCTTGGACATTGTGGGGGGTAGGGGTAGGGTTCACATGTGGCCACCGAACAGTTGCATGCACGGCTCTTCCCCACCTCCGCAGCCATCTCCAACCCAGAGGTGTCCCACGCCGGCCCGGGCGAGCAGCACGCTGCGGGCTGTGTATACACCGGCGCGGCGTCTAGTATGAAATCTGACGGTGCCACGAGCCCCGACCTTGAGAAACGCAGGTGCGGATGATTCGTGAGAGAGTGGCACGGGCGCGGAAGGATCCGACTATCAGTCTTTGGGGGCTTGGCTGGACGAGGGGGCTGGGTCTAGGGCCAGGGAGCCTGACGTTGCCACGAGCCCCGACCTCGAAAGGCAGGTGCGGATTCTTCGTGGGAGTGGCAGGGGCAAGGAAGGATCTGCCTCTCAGGGGCTTCACTGGACCGCGCTGAGTCTAGGACCAAAAGCCATCGTAGGGGGGGCCGGGAACTCGCAGACCTCCCCAAAAGCCAGGAGGCCTGGGCACCACGCCCGCTGCTTCTCGCTCGGCGGCCGCGGGCGCGCGCAAGGGCGGCGCGGCGGAGGGTGCGGGCGCGGCCGCGCGGGGGGAGTGGAGCGCCCGACCAGGGGGGAGCCGGCAAAGCACACGTGCGCACGGCCGAGCTCCGAACATCTGCGGCACCCCGCGGCTCCGCGGGGTGCCCTCGGCCGCCGCGGCCGGGTGCGCCTCGGAGTCCCGGAGGCGCCAGGATGCGCTCTGGCGTGTCCGGGGTCAAGTCGGGCGCTGGAAGCGAGCACGGCCAGATTCGCAGAGCCAGACATGCAGAGGCAAGGCGGCTGTGCGCAGATGCGATGGTCGGCGTACCTAACCGTACCATGGCTGGGCGCCCGAGAGGCAAGCAGCCAGCGTATCCAGAGCTCCGCCAGGCTGGCCACATCAAGTGCTTCGAGATTTGGGGGTGAAGCCTCCCGTTTTGAAGCGTTGCGCCAGCGAGCGCGCGATCAGGGCGAAACAGACGCAGTTCCCATTCCCTGCCACGAACTCACAGCTGTCTCCTGCACTTGAGCTCGCCTGGGACGCGACAAAAAAAACACAGCCAGTCCCGCGGGGGAGGAGAATGGAAAACAGCACCCAGAAGAAAATGGGCACGACAAGACAGACATCAACATGAGAGAACGGGAGAGGGAGAGAGAGAGAGAGAGAGATACATGAAGCACCCACCACTAGGTCCTCAAACTTGCCAACATCAAAAGACTTCAGAGCCAGAACAGCTTTCCATGGTGGAGGGCTACAAGGACCAGACTGCCGCCCCCACATATGAGAGATGCTTAGAGAAGGCTAGATGTGGAAACCTAAGGGTGAGGAGGAGAAAAGACAATGAGAGAGAGAGAGACAATACAAATCCATGGAAGCGGGATTGGACAACGAATGAGGAATTGAAAAGGACGGGACATGGAAATGGGGCGTGGGTGAGGAAACCGGCGTCTACAGAGGGGGCAACGTGGAAGCGTCAACGAGGCATGTGCCATACAATGCTTCTGATCACTGCAGAATCGAGCGTTCTGAATAGGAACCCTGCCTCGCCAGCCCTGCAACCGCCAAGCCAGAATGTACAGTCGGGGCGTTGACCGAAGGAACCCTAAATTAGGAATGAGGCCCCCTTTCCTCATGAGTTAAACTTCGATTTCCCATCGAAAACCTACGGAAAACAGAAGGCAAACTGTGAAACAAGTAAGGAACACGGAGCCCCTCCCAAACGAGAAGGGTTCCTTCTTCAGCGCCCCGACTGCAGTCCTCAGTGGTTCCTGAGTGTCCCGCCTCGCCAGTCCTGCACACACGCCACCAATATCGACCAGAAACAACGGCAACACCTTCGCGGAGCCGCGTCTACGCGCGGCTGCATAATCGAACAGACATAATTAGCACCGCTCATGGGGAACCGAGACGAGCTTTTACGAACCCGACCTCTTCATTCGAAAAACTCGCGGATCCAGTCTACCCGCAGCGAGCAAGACTGACCCCGCTTTCAAAACTGAGCCAGGAAATCTGAGTTGGGCAAGAACCAGTGCGAGCGAATCCAAACGAACCTGTATACCAGGCTCCGCCAACTCCATGGGACCTCTGAATATCTTTGATCCCCAGAGCCCTCCACATTCGCCAGCTCCCCAGACAGCGAACATGGCAATCGATTCACAACCCCACAGCACAGATGATGGAACGAACCGACAAGCAGCATACGGGCCGACAAGGAGACGCGGAGGACGACGATGATGAGGGAGGAACGGGGGAGGATAAAGAGGAGGAGGAAGAGGAGGAGGAGGAGGATAAGGAGGAGGAGAAGGAGGAGGAGGAGGAGGAGGAGGGGAGGAGGAGAAGGAGGAGGAGGAGGAGAAGGAGGGGAAGGACGACGATCTCGCGGCGCGCAAGCGGGCGTGGGGCGAGAGAGGCAGTCGTCTGACGTGGCAGTGCGCTCCTCAAGAGGGCCCCGGAGGCCCCGGAGACCGAGGAGGCCCCCCGAAAGCCGGGATGGGCCTCGGCGAGGCCCCCTCGGGCGTGTCCCCCTACAGGCGGATTCTGGACGAAAAATCAAAAATAGCAACAACAAAAAATGTCAAACATCGTCACCAGACATTTTGAATATTCCTCATGTAGAGGGACAGGCCCGGCTTAATCGTAGGCCGACCCCCCTCGAGCCGCCCGTCTTGGCTCGTCGCCACAAGAAGCGGGGGAGGGAGGGCGGCGTGGAGGCCCCCAGGAGGCCTCCGGAGGCGCAAGACACATGCAGACGACCTCCTCCGAACAGCACCATTCCTATCCTCGGGCCTCGATCCTCCTTCTCCCTTCTCCCTCCCATGCCTCCCAGAGGAGGGGGAGGGCACACACGTCCAGAGCAGAGGTCCCCAAGCCTCGAACCTGGTCCTCCGCCGACCTCCTCCTCCCTCCGCCTCCCCTCCTGGATGGGGAGGAGGCGGAGATACGGAGGAGGAAGAGGAGAACAAGGATGAGGGAGGAGGAGGGAAGACCAGTGTAAACCCAAAGCGCGTCAATGATGTTGCAGTAAACGCTCCCTCCAGGCTCCCCCTACATAGGTCCCTAACAACAATTATGCGCATTGCGGGTACTGGTCTTTTAGAAGACATCCGTCTGGTAATGGTCAATCCTGCATTCAAGGTACCCATCTTCCTGGGACTTCAATTACGCCGCGGGTCAACGTGACTGTTGCGTCCTACCAATCCCAAACCGTGCCAGAACACCGTTCCTGGGACGTCGACACCGCGAATGAATGTGACTGTTGCGTCCTGACAGCCCAAAACTGTGCCGTAATGCCATTCCTGGGACTTCGACCGGACGAATCTTCGAAACTTGCCAGTTTTCAAAACGAGTGTGCGCAGCACTACGGCGAGAACCACATGTTGAAAAGGAACCGCCTTCCATCCGTGAAGCTACTGCGAGCTTTAGAAGAGCGAATGTGCGCGGCGCTAAAATGAGAGCCACATTTTGAAAACGGCCCAACCTCCATCCTTAACAAATGCTGCAAACATTTTAAGCGAATGCGCGCGGCGCTGAGGCGAGAACCACATGTTGAAAACCACACGCCTTCCATCCGTGAAACGGTAGTAAACCTTGAAGGCGAATGCGCGCGGCGCGTAGGCGAGAACCACATTCCGAAAACGACCCGCCCTCCATCCGCAACAGATGTTGCAAATGTCAAACTTCAGGATCGTGAGCGGCGAAGAAGCCTCAGGCGAAACGCCCGCCCTGACCTACCTACACGCAGGGCGGCGCGACATGGAGGCGTTATTCGCAAGGACAAGGTATGAGGCAGGGAGGAGGAATAGAGGAGGGGAGGAGAGATAGAGGAGGCACATGAGGAGGAGGAGGGGAAGGAGGAGGAGGAGGAGGAGGGGAAGGAGGAGGAGGAGGAGGAGGAGGAGGAGGAAGAAGAGGAGCTGACCATGCACGGCGGCGGGGGGGGAGCCGCCCGTGTCCGACAGCAGCCCGTGCGCCGATGAGGCGAAGGAGCCTCTCGCGAGGGGATCCGGGGAGGGATGGGGGAAGTGGGGGAGGGGGAAGGGAGAGGAGGGAGAAGGGAGGGGGGTCTCTCTTCCCCCCCCCCATCCGAAGTCAGAGCAGCCTCCTCGACGCCAGCCTGCAGGTCTGGACTTTTCTTGCACCAGCAAAGCTAGTGGCAGGATAAGCTAGGAGATGTTCAAGTAGCATGTGCCACCGGCATTGCATGCTAATCGAAACTCGAGGTGAAACGAAGGACATCGGGCGATGCGGAACGATGCAAGATCTTACACATTCGAAAGCGATGTTTTCGGGCTATGGGGGGCATCCGTACCTGGGCTTTCCTGGGCTGCCCTGCAATGGCCTTGCTCTGCCCTGCCAGTGCACGGAGGCTAAGAACCTCACCTTGGGTGATTTGCCTACCACACACATCACTTTTTCACTCGGGGCTGCTGCGAGGAGGAGGAGGAAGACGTCTGTGGGACGCTCGAAGAGCCAGATGGCTGGAGGCTGGAAGAGACGAGTCCCGCGAACGTCTCCAAGACTCTTGCGGCATACAGCCCCCCATGGCGTCTAAGCAAATTGACGGCTGTACTGGCTCCCGGGTCCAATTCTCCAAAACGAAAACCGAGGACAACCAATCCCAACGGGCGTATCCCATGCTCTACATGGCCGAGGGAGTTGCCAGGTATAGCCTGACCCGCAGAATGCGGGTGCTCCCGCAGGCAGTGGCAAAGTGCATGCAAGTGTGGTGTCGGGAGGGGGAAGGGGAAGGAGAAGGAGGGGGGAGGAGGGAGGAGTCGCAGGCGGGGAGCAGGAGGAGGAAGAGGAGGACGGGGAGGAGGAGGACCAGAGTAAACCAAAGATGCATCAACAATGCACAATGCTGCAATGCACCCTCCCGTCCCAAGTCCCCTTCTCTGAAGTCCCCACATGTATCCCTTTTCCCTTCAAGAAGCACACTCTTAAAATACCAACGCCCTGAGGGCCTGTCATTGCGGCGAGAAATCCGCCTGGATAACAAAGACTGGCTACCCTTATCCTTCCAGCGAGAATTACGGAACGCGCGAAGGTATGATCATACAGTTCAACGGCGTGTCGAATGATATCACCTTTTTTGGCAGGACCCCCCCATCTGTATAGCTCTTGCACGCGTGTTCACTGCCGGCCATGCGCGCCGACAAAGTCTCCAGCGAACGCCCCAGTTTGAGAAGGAGTCACCCCACACCCGTGCAGCTGTACCATACACATGGGCGATTTCGGGAACCCTGAACCCAAAATTGTTCTCATCTCTCGGAGACACATCTCTTGGTTGCTTCCGCCGCCCTCCGCCGAGCTCCCGCCGGCCTCCGCCGGCGGAGGACGGCCTCGTTTCACTTCCGCCGCCCTTCCGCCGCCCTTCCGCCGCGGAAGAGATGCCAACTCCTTCGGCCCTCGAAGGCAAGGCCTTTCTTGGAACGCCTCATATATGCTCAAGTTGGCGGCGCGCACAAGGGGGTGGAGGGAGGGGGGAGGGCTTCTTGGAAGGAGGCTGCTTCTTAGAGGGCGCCGGCCTTCCATCTACAGATAAGGCCCGCGCCTTCTAAGAAGCAGGGGTGCTTCTGAGACACCCCTGCGCGTGGCTGATCGTCGCAGAAAGAGAAAAAGCGCCATAAACACAAACTTTTGGCGCTCCGCGCGGATTTCCTGGATCGGCGCTGAACCCCCCCATCCCTGGCGCGCGGAGCGCGCCAGGGGCGGCGCCGGAGGCGCCGCCCAGGGGGAGCCCAGCGCGGATCCAGGAAATCCGCGCGGAGCGCCACAAGTTTATGTTCATGGCGTTTTTTTCTCCTCCGACATCTGCGCGTGGCCGCTCAAGTTCCTGGTCGTGAGATATTTGGAGGCGCTCCGGCGCGACACGGCCCGCTGGTGAGGAAGGGCTCCCGACCTCCGCCCGCGCAGGGTGCCGCACGGATGCGCGGGGCTCCCAACAAGCCTCTGCAGCCGAAGAGGGGCCTACGGCGCGAGCCCACGTGCTGAGAAGGAGCCGCCTGCGGTTGGTTCGCGCGGCGTCGGCGCGCGCAGAGGTCTTGGACGCCGCGTCGATCGTTCAACCTGGAACCGATCGCGGCCCCGATCGTTCGAGGCTGAATGCCGTCGGGTTCTGTGGCGTTGCAATGTCCCTCAATGCTTCCACGTCGTTCTATCTTGCGGAGATCAACCTTGAACGCCTTCGCCGGCGTCGCTGGCGCGCCATCGCCCCATGAATATACCGTGCAATCCCTGCGACTGGTCAGAGCCTCAACGACGAGTGCGTGCGGCGCGATGTTGAAGAGGAGCCGCTCCCCACCATCGAAGGCAGTGCCAACTCTTGAGACGAATGTGCGCGACGCTGAGGCGAGAACCCCATTTTGAAAAGGAGCCGCCGTCCATCCCTGAAGCTGCTGCAGACTCTTAAAACGAATCTGCGCGACGCTGAGGCGAGAGCCCCATGTGGAAAACTCCCCCCTCCATCTTTGAGAGTGCTGCAAACTTCTGGAACAGATCTGCGCAGCGCTGGAGGCGAAAGCCACATGCTGCCCCCCAGCCTTGAAACGGTTGCAAATGTAAAGCTTCACTCTCTTAAATGGTGGGGAATTCTCACGCGAAACGCCCGGCCCGCCCTACCGACACGTCTGCGGGCGCGACACGGAAGAGTTACGTATAAGGAAAATGGATGGGCGATGAGGGGAGGAGGAAGAGGTGGAGGAGGAGGAGGAAAAGAAGGAAGACGAGAGGGCGGAGGATCCCTAGCCATCTGGCTCAAGCCACAATTTGCCCAGAAACCCGTGGCAGTGTGCCAGCCCTAGGGGGCCAACCTCGACTGAAACCTCAACTTTTCCACATACACCTTTTTATATCCTGTCTAACCTTTACTCTGACGATACGTTTCGACTGCATCCTGATCCCTTATCCAGGGCACCACGACGTCTACGTCGACCAACCCAGCTTGGCATGGGCGCGTTTGGGAGTGTCGAGCTGCTGCACGAGTGCTGGGACGTGTCGCATCTGCGCGTTCACTATTCGATCAACATACGCAGCACCGTCTCCACGCTGCACACGAACTACTCCAGGCGCACCACAGTGCACAACAACTACCACGACAGTCACCGCCAGCTCCCGCAATGGCAGCATCATGGGGAATAGACGCGAGTGGATCAGGAACTACACCACCACCCTGAAGATCAAGATCGAGCCGCGTTCCAAGCAGAGAACCGACACCGCGACCTACCCCACCGGCGATTGGGGCAGACCTCGAGCGCTGGAGAAACCACAATTGGACGGAGCAGTGGCCCAACGACCATCCTGACACCGACTGGAACAAGGGCCACAGCGGCAAGGGCAACAACGGCAAGGGCAAGGGAAACTTCCCAAAGTCCTTCGACGACGACCACGAGCCTGACAGCCGCAACCAGAAGGGGAAAAACAATAACAACAAGGGCAAGGGAAAGGCCAAGGCACAACCCGATCAAGACAACAAGCTCAAAAAGAAAGACACCACCCAGGACTGCAACGACCACATCGCCAACACGATCAACATCGTCATGCCGCTGCGGAAGATCTACACAGTCCGAAGGCCGGACTGGGAGCTACCGCCCAACGACCCCCAGCTCAAAGACGACTGGAACAATATTAAGATCATCGAGCAAAAGCGACCAGTCGCAGCCATTACGAAAAACATTACTGCAGGACTACCTACTACAGATGCAATCGCCCAAATCGCCTTCACCAAAACCGTGATCATCAACAGCATGCCCCTAGCCCAACACGCCAGGGAGATAGACAACACCAGGCGGACCTTGGAAGACTAATACGAGCACACTCAGGCGCACCAAAGCCAGACAGAGAAATACATGAACGGGTTGGAAAACAACATCGACGCCCTCAACACCTTACGGCGCGACGCAAGCATTGCCAGGGGTAGCATCTACAGCGACGCAGGCGCCGCTGATGATGAATCTAAGCCAACAAACCACAAAGGTACACACCACAGAAAAGGGCGCCTACACCAGCTCCCAGGAGACAAACAAGAGCGGGGAGACGGCGGAGGGACAAGACGCCTGCATGCTGCGCAATACACTGAGAGAGGACAACCAACGAACGGCCCACAACATCAAGCAGAACAAGAGCGACGCCATCGCCGAGATCCACGCCCTCAAAAAAAAATACGAGCGGCAAGCGCACAGAAGCATGGTGAAAGACAACACAATGAACCAACACAAGCACATCACTACCAGAACGAGCTGAAGAACGAGATCGACACCGCGAGCAACACGAACGACGACCTGGCCGCACATCAAGCAGTTCTACAAACCAGGAACATCGCAGCCCTAAACAGGACGGGGGAGGAGCTCGAGACCATCAGGACACCTGAATATCGTGACTACACTTCGATCGATCGATTACAGAGCAAGCTCAGGACCGCGCAGAACAAGCTCATCGACAGCAATAATGACCGATCCACTATACAACTGCAGCTGCGAGAAGCCGAAAGGTTGGCCAATGAAAGGCAGACTTACTTCAATATGACCACGGAGGCTGAGCAGCACATCGCCAACGTCGAAGCACAAACAGCCGAGGCGCGGATCAAGGAAAACAACGACTACATCATCATCTACCACACATGGGGAGATGCAAAGGACTGGCGCCAACAAGCCGAGAATGAACTACATGTCCAGGAAATTCACATTGAAGCGACGATTTGCAGTGTCCGTCAGGAGTGCCAACCACGAGTCACAGACATTGAGCGCCTCGTCAGGAGAAGGCCTGATGGGACAGGCCCAACATCAAGAGCTATACCTCCAACAGGGACTGGCCGACACGCGTGCACGCGAGCAGCGGGCACGCCACAACGCACTACAAGCCGAAAAGCAACTGCAGACATCTACGGATCGTGTTCCAGCGCGCGGAGATGGGCACGGCGGAACGGAAGCAGGCGGAATGGAGGAACTCGAAGGAGAGGCACGAGAAACGCACCGAGGAGGCAGCGGAGGAATGCCACTACGCTCAACATGCTGCTGGACTTGCAAACGAGCGCCTGAACAACATGGAGATGGTCGACGCGATAGAAAATGCCCTATCCGTACAGATACCCACCGACGAAGACGAGCTACATCCTTTCTTGCCACCTGTCGACTCTCTGCCCTCACAGAAGTCTGACGTGGAGGGAACCCAGCCAACCCAGTCATCAGTCGACCAGGCCGCCAGGGACTCAGACGTGTACGGGGTGTTGGTATCACAACCAACTGCAGAGGAGCAACACCCATACCACCCATCTGCTCCGGCCAGAACTCCGAGAGGGGCAGGTACACCACCGGCGGGGCAACCGGGCAATAGGGATCACGACTGCCCTGCACCGAGTGCCTGGACACCGGGAACAATACCGCCAGGACAGCCTACCAACGAAGTCATCTCGATTGACACAGACACGCCATAGACACGCCATCACCAGGAGCCACAAGATACAGGCCTCGGAAAAAATTAGCGAACACTCATGCCACATTCATCTGTGAACGCCTCCCCCTCCCCCCAATGTTCAAAGTTGGCGGTGGGTCTGATGAGTTGCACCTCGACCGCAGTCTCCCCCCCGCGTGCCAACTTTGAGTTTGGGGGGCACGGAGGGTGTTCACTAATTGTTTCCCTCTAACGTACGACGGCATCAGTTGTCGCCACCCGGGCCCCGTAGCGGTCCGGCCCGCTAGTCGCCGCCCGTCGCCGCGCTGCTTTTTGCATTGCACTGTATTGCCTTGCATTGCGATGCATTGCTGTGCGCTGCTTTGCATTGCGTTGACTTGCATGCACGGCTTTGCGTTGCGTTGCATTGCGTTGCATTGCGTTGCATGGCTCTTCTTTGCACTGCTCTGCATCGGCTTGCACCACGTAGTCTGCACCACATGGATTGCGCCGCCTAGACTGCACCGCATTGATTGCACCACCTGGACCGCACCGCAACTCGCTGCAAGCCATCGCTCTCTTTGGGGCCCACGCTGGCTGCACAACACGCTCGTTGCTTGTTGGGCATCCTTCGCAAGCTCTCCCTCGCCACGGCCAGGTCCGACTCGGAAAAGAAAGCCGGCATGGACCCCGGGCCGGGGTCCGAGGACCGGCTCTGGGCGGATCTCGGCGGTGCGGGAGATCCGCTGCTGCCTGAACCGGCCCTCCTCCGAGGGACACTGGCCCGGGCACGCGGTGGCAGAATGCAGGAGGCCGCGTCGCGGAAAAGTGCCCATTTGAAGGTCCTAACAGCGGCGCGTGCAATACCAGTGCGTGATGGACCACTTGGCAGAGCCGTCGGCTGGCGAGGCCCACCACGTCCGTTTCCACGGCTCGGCGTCGCTGTCTGCAACGAAGCGCCCGCTTGCCCTTGCCTGTGCCGAAGCGCCCTGTGGAAGAGGCGAGCGATGGGAGGCGTCTTCAGCGGCCAGCGCACCTGCAGGAGGCATGGCCGACGCCGCACGACTCAGCGTCACACACTCTGCAGCGAAGCGCCCGATGGTCTCGGCATGAGATCTTGTGATATTGCCCTTTGTGCACTCAGCGCGTCCTCTGTCCACACCCGCTGGGGTGGAACAACGCTCGTGGACATGTCGCGGGGGCTCCCCGGCCACTACCGTGTCAACGTTGAGCTACACTGTCAATGCCTCGCTCTCCTGAGGCTTTGCTGTGTTCTTGCCCGTTAATAAGTTTACACGTGTGCGGAGTTACACTGTCAATGCCGCGCTTTCCTGTGGCTTTGCTGCGTTCCTGCTCGCAACGCACACCGCCAGAGGCGGCAAAGAGCTTTAGATCCGCCCACAGAAATTGCGACGATAGAGGGTGTCCCTGGACCCCTCCACAAAATGCCACCCTTGCGGCAGAAGACCCGAAATCAGCTTTACGCAGTCGCGATGGGGGCCACGATGGTGGCTCACGATGGGCGGGCACGACTGCGGGAACGGGGTCGAGAAAGGAATAGAGCTAGGGACAGAGGGCTGGGGGTACAGGTATAGGGATGTAGGGCTGGGGTCACAGGGATCGGGACGGGGATAGAGGGATACGGATAAAGGGATAGGCGTAGGGACGGCAATAGGAGGCCACGGGAGGAAACGGGAGGCAACGGGAGGTAATGGGAAGCCACAGGAGGCAATGCAAAGCCACAGGAGGCCACGGGAGGCAACACCTCATTAGAAATCTTGCATTGAACCCTTACTGGCAAGCTGCTCATAAGAAAATTCAATTCCCGTAATTCACGGCCAACCCGCAATTTTTCAGGACCCCCCCCCTGCACCCGAAACTGTCCTCCTCCTCCTCCTCCTCCTCCTCCTCCTCCTCGTCGCTCCTCCCTCCTCCTGCTGCTCACCCTCCTGCTCCTCCGCCCTGGTCCTTCCTCCTACTCCTCCCCACTCCTCGCTCTTTGCTGCTCTCCACTGTTTCTCCCTGTTCCTCCTCCTCCCTGTCCCTCGTCCTCCCCCCTACGCCCGAAACCCTCCTCCTCCTCTTCGTCGTCGGCGTCGTCGCAGCAGCGGCAAGGCGGCTGGACGCCCGCGGCGGGTGCGGTCGCGTCGGTGTACAGCGGCGCCCCGAGCCGCCCGCGCGTCGAGACGAAGGAGCCTCGCAGCGTCGGCGTCGTCGTCGTCGTCGGCGTCGGCGTCGGCATCGTCGTCGTCGGCATCGTCGTCATCCTCCATGGCGGCGCCGTCGTCGCAGTCGTCCGCGTCGTCGTCATCGGCGCTGGCGTCATCGTCGGCGTCGTCTTCGGCGCCCTCGTCGGCGCCGTCGTCGCCAGGCGGCAGACGGAGTCGAGCCTGGACGAGCATGCGATGGGCCATGACGCCAACACTGGGGATTGGCTCCGGGCCTCGGCGGGCGTGCGTTCTCATACTCCGCATAGTTGAGCACCTTACCGAGTCGATCGCAGTCTGTCGTCGATGTAAAGGCATGTGATAAGTTGTCAGACCCAGGGCAACAGCATCAGGGCTGTGCCACGGGTCGCAAATGGTCGCAAACAAGGCCGCGCTGACGCGATCAACTCGTGCAAAGGACTTTCACGTAAGGGCCCTTTGGTTAGAAGTGCTGTTGTATACTGTTGCATGTATGTGCTCAAGTCATTGTGCTCGCTATGACCATTATGCTCAAACCGTTTAGGCGCCTTGAGCCTTGGTGACAAAAAGAGCCTTCTCCATCCTTCTCCTATGCGTCCCCCTGGTGGCGGCGATAGCGAGACGGCGGCAACGACGGCAACGTTGACACGGTCCAGTCGGACCCCGGTGACTCCTACGGTTTCCAGCGGAGGTTCGACAATTCGCCGGCCCAACGGGCCAGAGGCGTGCTAAGGTCTCCGGTAACTGGCTAACAATATTTCTAGTTCGCGCGCGCGCGGGGCGGCCCCTGGGGGTCCCCCGGCGAAAAGTATCCCGACCGCAGCCCGACCAGGTCTACTCAGAGATGGTTTTGAGGGCCTTTTTTCGACACCCCTCACATGGATCGTGCCCTCCGAGGGGGGTGCACTCGACTACCCCGCCCCAAGAGGCCCCCAAGAGCCCCCCAAGAGGCCCAAGGGGGCTCCAAGACGCCGCCAAGGAGCCCCAAGAGACCCCCAAGAGGCCTCCAAGAGGCCCGTAGGAGGCCCCAAAGAGGCCCCCAAGAGGCGTCAAAGAGGCCCCATAGAGCGCTCGAGGGCCGGCGGAATGAGCGAAGCGATGAAATAACAGGTTAGTAGCGAAGCAAGAGGTTGGCCCCTCTTGGCTCCACTCATTTTCTGCATATCACTGGGGCTGGCCCCCCCCACGGTGGACAAGATGACGGATTACGCAACAGGCGTGGCCCGAAGGTCGCAACGCTGATGGGCGAGAGCTTGAAGGACTTCGCACATCTTCGCACGGTACGAGGAGTCAAGAAGGCCCCAAGAAGGGAAAATCAAACTGACGTTTGGAGCCCTTTCCCGAAAGATTGCCCCCGAGACCGCCAAGAGGCCCCCGAGAGGCCCCTAATAGTCCCCGCAAAGGCCCCCAAGAGGCCCCAAAGAAGCCCCCAAGAGACCACCAAGAGGTCACCAAGAGACCAAGAGACCCCTGACTCCAAAGAGATCCCACGAGACCCATGAGAGGCATCCCAAGAGGCCCTAAGAAGCAAGAGGCCTGACCCACAACCTGGCACAATGGCAGAATGGGCCACCGGCGACTGGATCTGCCGCGCGCTTGGCGTGCCAGATGTGTGAATACCCCTTGGCCCTTCCACAAGGTTCCCAATGACCTCCAGCCTGACCCGTCGGCCACCCAGAAAACGCCCCAAACGAGGGCTCCAGGAGGTTGCGCATGGCTGATGCTCGCTGGCCTTCGAGGCAGCAGTTCACGAGCTCCACGCTGTCCAGGAAGTCGACCACGTGCGCGGCCCAAGCCTCCTCCGCCGCGCTCCTGCGGGAGAGGGGGGGGGGGCCCGAAGGCCCCCCGGGCTCCACCAGTGTGGAGGCCTCTGCCCCCCTCCAATCCTAACTTTTTCCTTACACCAGACGCTGCCCTCTCCTCCACTGTCATGGTCCTACCTCCTCCTCCCCCTCCTCATCATACTTACACTCCCTCCCCTCCCCTCTCCTCACTCTCCTCCCTCCTCCCGCCTCCCTTCTCCCTCCTCCCTTCTCCCTCTTCTGTTATTCTTCTTCTTCTTATTATTACTCCTCTTTCTTCTCCGCCTCCTTCTCCCCCTCCTGCTCCTCCTCCTCCTCCTCCTCCTCTTCCTCCTCCTACTCCTCCTCCTCCTACTCCTCCTCCTCCTCCTCCTCCTCCTCCTCCTCCTCCTACTCTACTCCTCCTCCTGCTCCTCCTCCTCCTCCTCCTGCTCCTCATGCTCCTCCTCCTCCTCTCCTCATCTCTCCCCCTCCTCCTTCTCCTCCTCCTCCTGCTCCTCCTCCTCCTCTTCCTCCTACTCCTCCTTTGGGTTTTCTCCTCATCTCTCCCCCTATCTCCTCCTCCACTTCCTCCTCCTCAGCCTCCATCCTCCTCCTCCCCTCGCTATCCTACTCCTCCTGCATCCCTCTCCCTTGCTCCCTCCTCCTTGTAGTATTCGTTTCGTGCACTGCCACACGTCTGGCAAGGCGGTCGCAAGCCAACGGCATGCTCAGCGCACGGCACACCGGCATGGCTCAGCCTGGGCCGTCGCCCCGCCACACGGCTGGGTTATGCCTGCATCCTCCTCCTTCTTCAGCAGGGTTCGGCGACATGGCGTGCCTGCGAGATGAAAAGCGACCTGCCCACTAATCACATAGTGCCCCCCGTCGCCAGGGAGAAATCAATCAATGTGATCTCAGACACCAGGGAAGATATGACACCGACGGCCGTGAACGCGGCATGCCCGAGAAGCCATACATCGAGCTTCCACCCCTCCGTTCCACTGCGTGGCATATCTAGGCAACACCGACCACTCCATCCTGAGTGCGTGAGTCACCTTTGCTGGACAAATGGGTATTGCAGCCCCTGTGGGCGGCTTCCCGTGGTCGCAGCTGTGCCGAAACTGGTCCACGGCCTTTCATACCCATAGCGCAGCTCGCTACCTTGTCGGCCCGTGCACCGAACTGCCTCGTCCTCTGCCGCACAAGATCCGCCCGTGGGGCGCGCGGTCCCAGCCGTCCGGCGGCAGGGGCGACAAAGACCGAGCTGCGCGAGCACACGCTGGCCGAGCCACCTCTGGCGCCGTCAGGACCTCGTCAGCGGGGACTCTGGCAAACCAAGGCAGCGGCGCACCAGATGAAAATGGCAGCCATGGGTCTGAACGTTCTCCACTCCTCGGACTCCCTGGGCGGAGCTGGCAGAGTCATGGTTTGCAAGCTCTGGCGCCGCGCGGTCGTCGGGCAGCTCTGGCCGAGCCCCCCGCTTTGGGATGCCCCTGCAGGCGCTGGGCCATCTGGGGTGGCCACGGAGCCCCTCGTGGCCCCGGGCGCACAGTGAGCGGAGCCTCGGCTCGCTGACGGCTGAGAAGAGGAGGAGGAGGAGGAGGAGGAGGTGGAGGAAGAGGAGAAGGAGGATGTGGAGCAAGCGGAGGAGGAAGAGGAGGAGGCAGACGTTGAGGAGGGGGCGGAACGTAGAAATGGGAGGAGAAGGAGGAGGAGGAGGAGCAGAAGGAGGAGGAGAAGGAGGAGGAGGAGGAGGAGGAGGAAGAGAAGGAGGATGAAGAGGAGGAGGAGGAGGAGAAGGAGGAGGAGGAGGAGGAGGAGGAGGGGGAGGAGGAGGAGGAGGAGGAAGTAGGAGGAGGAGCAGGAGTATGAGGAGGAGGAGCAGGAGCAGGGGAGGGGGGAGGAGGAGAGAGGAGGAGGAGGGGAGGAGGAGGAGGAGGAGGAGGAGGAGCATCACTCGGTTTCTGCGCGTCTCTGGGCTTTGCCATGCACCTCTCATCTGCGAACTGCTCGCCGATTCGCCAGACGCCCCTCCCGCCCCTTCCAGCAGGAGCAAAAAGGTGGCCGTGCCCTTCTTGCCGTACAGTCGGGCTGCTGAAATAAGGAACGCCTACTAACGAAGCCCCCCTTTGGCACCAGAAGAGTCTTCGTGGACGAGGAGCGCCAGAGAGACAGCCATGAAAGAACCGAAGGAACACCGAACCCCAACCGAACCCAAGCTGTTTCTTACTTGAACGCCTTGACGCAGCAATGTTTGCCCCTGCTGGAGCTAGAAGAAATAACAACTGCACAAATATAAGCTTTTGGCGCTTCGCGCGAATTTCTTGGCGCGCGCCAATGGCGACGCCAGAGGCGCTGCCAGGAGGGGGTCCAGCGCAGATCCAAGAAATCCGCGCTGCGCGCCAAAACTTTTTAGTTTCTGTCGTTTTTTCTTCTGAGCTTCGACTCCTGGACGGTTTCCCCCCAGGCCGTAGGCGACCCGAGGAGGGGAGGGCGAGGAGGGGGAGGAGGAGGAGGAGGAGGAGGAGGAGGAGGAGGAGGAGGAGGAGGAGGAGGAGGAGGAGGAGGAAGAGGAGGAGAAAGGAGGAGGAGGAGAAGGAGGACGAGGAGGAGCAGGAGGGGGAGGAGGATGAGGAGGGGAGGAGGAGGAGGGGAGAGGAGGATGAGGAGGGGGAGGAGGAGGAGGAGAGAGGAGGAGGAGGAGGAGGAGGACGGGTCGCCTAAGCCCTTCGGAGAAACCCTCCAGCTTCGACAGCGAAGGCCAGTGCCCCCCCCACTGCCGGAGGCGCTCTGCGGCGACGGCTCCGCGCGGCGGGTTCAGAATCCCACCAACCCTCTGGGCGTAGTCTAGGGAGGCTCCTCTTCCAAACCCTTTCTCCCCATTTCGGGGAGGGCTCATCACTGCTCCCTAGTCATATATGCCCCCTCCCCCAGGCAACTGGCAGCCAACCAGGAGCAGTGAGGACACCATGATCCCCCCCACCATCCGTGTCAAAAACAATACAAAACGCACTCTGCCTCCACATTCGGAGCATGCGCAACCAACCCGATGCGCCCCCACCCCCGACCATCCCTGTCAAAGAAATAATGCAAAGTTCACCTTGGGTCAAAGTCTTGAATCAACTTCGTGAGGCCAACGAGCATTTTGTAGGTTTTTAACAGGGACGGCGGGGGCGTCAGTAAATTGTCTGCCGTGCGCAGGATCCCTATCAACAAACAATACAAACATGCACCTCACGAAAAAATCTGGATCATGCGCAGCCACCCCGCGATCACGGCGAAATAGTTTTTGACAGGGACGGAGGGGGTGGTGGCGTATGGCCTGCTGTGCGCAGGCCCACCCGACACAATGATGGGCATTGGTTTTCGACAAGGATGGTGGGAGCCGCCATGTTCCCGATGTGCGCTGCCACGTGCGCAGGCGCACCTGACACACGCTGCACGTGCCCCGAACGTGGCGCACCTGGCGCGGTTGCACCTGGCGCGGCTGGAGTATGCAGCACACCTGGCGCACGTGGAGCACGTGGCGCATCTGGTGCAACAGACGCGCCTGGCACGTTCGGGCCCCAACGTCGCGCACATGGGGTCGGTGTTGGTTTCCAGTAGCTGCTCATCCAAAGACGACCGCCGAACATGCTCAGGCTCGGGTGTTACGTCTGTGTTGGGAAAGCGCGCGGGAGCGAGCTTGCTAGACGGCTTGCTATCTAGGCGGGTGTCTTGAATCCTCCCCCATACCCCCTTCTCTGGACTTGGACGTGGCCCTCCGCGAGCGGTCAGAACATCCAAAATGCCCCCAAAAGGTTCCATCTGGATGGGTTGGTGGGGATACGTTTTGGTACGCGGGCGCGCGAAGCATGTCGAACGCCGAGCACGCTAGGGCGGGCCGCGCCGTAGCGGAGGAAAAGACAGCGGAGAGAACTACGCTGCCACAGGGAGGAGGCTGGTGGGGATGCGCGGAGCGCCAAGGGCTCGAAGGACGCCTGCAGCCAGCCTCGAGCCCACGGCCCCCTCGCGCTACCAGGAGGAGCGCACGACCCTTGCGTCGCGGGCCAGGCAGCATGCCTGCGCTGGCTGGACGAGGCACGGCGGGCAAACGCTGCGCGAGCTGGGCCACCGTGCCCGGGGCTTGCCGTCGCTCGGACGTCCATTTCCCGTGCATTGTTCAGTTTCGTGCGCGTTTTTGTTGCTCGATGGTCCAGGATGGTCCTCGATGGTTCTCGCCGAGAAAAAATGCACACGGAGGAGGCGAAGGAGCGCACGGCAGGGCTCCTGGCCAAGGCGGGCCTCGCCCCGCAGGCAGGCCCCGCGACGCGGACCCGGGGAGCGGCCCGAGGCACCGCCGTGGCCCTCTCGCGCGGGAGGAGGAGGAGGAGGAGGAGGAGGAGGAGGAGGAGGAGGAGGAGAGGAGGAGGAGAAGGAGGAGGAGGAGGAGGAGGAGGAGGAGGAGGATGAGGATGAGGAGGAGGAGGAGGAGGAGGAGGAGGAGTTCCCTGCCATTTTCTAAATTTGATTCAGGATAAGCTGCGAAATTCCAATTGCCTTTCGATCTGTACTGCACTGTGAGATGGAGGAGGAGCAGAAGGAGAAGGAGGAGAGGAGGAGGAGGAGGAGGGGGAGGAGGATGAGGGAGGGGGGGAGGAGGAGGGGGGAGGAGGAGGAGGAGGAGGAGGAGGAGGAGGAGGAGGAGGAGGAGAGGAGGAGGAGGAGGAGGAGGAGGAGGAGGAGGAAGAGGAGGAGGAGGAAGAGGAGGAGGAGGAGGAGGAGGAGGAGGAGGAGGAGGAGGAGGAGGAGGAGGAGGAGGCCACGGCGGACCCGAGCCCCATGGGGGCCAGCAGGGCGGCCCCTCACTTCGGCGTCTCGGCTGCCTCGATGCGCAGCACACGGCACGGGGCGTGGTGCTACGGAACTCAACACGCAGACGCAACGTTTTTTGGTCGGGGGCGGACGCGGATTCGCAGTCGCCGAGCTGAGAGATCCGGGCCACGGGCCTGTCAAATTAGCAACGCGCTAGCCTAAGAGCACAGCGGCCGAGCCCGGAATCAGAACCTACCGCCGAGACCGCAGGCTGAGGCTGAGCTGGCTGAGCTGACTGCAATAGGCCAGGGTAGCGCGCAGACGCAACACGCAGGTCCGACGCGATGCGTTCGCCAAAACGCGGGGCCGACACGCTGAGCCAACCCGCCAACGTATCGACGCGGACGTGTTCAGCGCGGTGCGCGTAGCGTTTCCACACGGGCGTGTCGAGGCAGCTACGTTCCAGCGTCTTGACCGTGTATCGCTATCCCTGAGACTGGCAAGCCCCCAAAACGATGACAATCTCAGGGATGCGCAACCAGACACCTGGGGGATCCAGAAGATCGGCGTCGGCGGCATCGCGATACGGTACATCAGCAAAATGTTGCACTACCTGGCGCGGACAATACATGGCATCGCTGTTCTATGAGCGTGTGTTTCCCACCCCCCTCGCCCCGATCTAGTATTGGGTTCAACCTGTGCTGTCCGAAACAGCTCGGTGGTGCAACATTTTGCCGGGAGCCCCTGGGCGGCCCAAGGGCTTTTCGCCATGTGCCCTATAGTAAGATCGGGGGGAAGGGGGGGGGAAAGAGCAATGCAGTATGGGCGCCAATGCGCAGGAGAAAGGGGGCGACAGTCTGTCGATGCACGGGCATGCTCCAGGCTGGTAAGTCTGCAACGAACCCTGGCGGGGGGTACCCGATGCCCCGGCGCTGATCCGACCTGACGGGGCAGAGGTCGCAAGAGATCGCAGGGTCGAGCTCCTCCCCGCCCCAGCGCCCGAGTCGCGCAGCGCCACGCTTTGGCGGCGTGCGGCACGGGGCAGTTGGCGATCTGAGAAGGCCAGCTCCAGCGCAGCAGGGCGACGGTCGGAAGCGGGTGTGGACGCCAGGTCGCACCCAGCTTGATTGAAATGGGGAGGAGGGAGAGGGAGGAATGGGGAGGAGGGAGGGAAGGAGACGGAGGAGGAGGAGGAGGAGGAGTAGGAGGAGGAGGAGGAGAAGGAAGGGAAGGGAAGAGGGGAGGGAAGGGAGGAGGGAGAGAAGGATGAGGAAGTCGGAGGAGGAGGAGGAGGAGGGAGGAGGAGGAGAGGAGGAGGAGGAGGAGGAGAAGGAGGAGGAGGGAGAGAAAGATGATGAGGAGGAAATTGAGGAGGAGGGGAAGGCGGAGAAGGAGGAGGAGGAGGAGGAGAAGGATGAGGAAGTCGAGTCGAGGAGGAGGAGGAGGAGGACGAGGAGGAGGAGGAGGAGGAGGGAGGATGGAATAGGAACGAGGGGGAG